CTTACTTAAGATCTTAAAGAAAGTAGTATTATACTTACTAGTATAAGTTTTAAAAAGCTTACTTTTATAGTAAATAGTAGTAATAATAAAGTAATTAAAATATTATAGTAAAATCTTACTTACTTTATTTATTTTAGCTATAAAATAAGTTTAAAGAGGTTATTTATTATAAGATCTTACTAGCTAAGCTTAATATAATTAATAAGTATTAAAATAGCTCTAAAGATAAGTACTTAAACTAGCGAGAGATATATAGTAGTAATTATATTTATAATAAAAGCTTCTAAAGTTTAAATTAGGAAATAAATAGTAAAACTCACTATAGATATTAGTACTAATACGTACTATATTAATATAATAAATAGTAGAAGTAATAAGTTAATAATATTAAAAAAAGTAGTAAAAGTATTAAACTAGAGCTAGAAAATAATATTAGAGAGGATTATTAATTAATCTAGCTAGTACTAGCTATAATAGGCAGTATGCTAGCTATATATAGTTAGTATAGCTGGATTAGGCTTAGCGCCGTTTTGTTCTGTTTTTGTTGTTTTCTATGGAGAGTACAGATACGTCGTTTTTTATGGAAAATACGTATTTTCTCAACCCCTATTCGCAACCCCAGCTCAGGGCAGATACAGATACCTTACACGACAATTCGCTACCTCAAGGGGCCTGTCCGGCACCGCAATTCGACGATTCCCCGATGGGATGGTCTCCAAAGGCCCAAAGCCGAGCCAACAATGGACGAGAATCACCTACGCGCCTCGGCGCAACCTGGTTCGTGTTTCCGCCTGCAAACGCCTGCCGCAGCATCCCCTCTCCGCAATCACCCCGTCTTGGTCGACCGCCTTCTCTCTCGCGGCCTCGCCTAGCTCTCTCGTCGTCCAATTCGTCTTGGGCCTTGCAGTTTGCTCACTTTCGTTCCCTTGTCGGCCCCTTCTCCGTGCGTCTCGCCCATGACCATCAACCGCCAAGGTGAACCTGCTCGAGCCACCTACACCCTTTCCGATATCCGTCTACCGATCCAGTCACACGCCGAACCCCCGGAACTGCCACGCCATGAGAGCCTACGTCTCACTCCAGCTTCTCGCCCTCATGTCCGTGTGTGTGGGGTCGGTCCCTGAAGCCGCCTATCCATGCCGCCGCCGCCGCTGAAGAGAATAGCGACGAGGCGTGCAGCGAGCGACCCAGGCGTCAGTACGAATAGCCCCGAGATACAGATATCCGGAGCACCTCTGCGCCGTGGAGCTGTCGGCTTCTTCCACACAGCCTCCAGTGACCTGGACTCGGATTGCAGTCGTGTTTCCCCCATGCTTCCGAGCCGCTTTCCATTCGCTTGTTTCCTGTCTGCTACTGGGGTATGGTGCCGTGGCTTAAGCGCCATCTTCGGGAGGGTCGTCACATTGCTCCGTTTGGCAAAGACTGAGTGTCCCTCAGAATAGATTGCCAATCTATCGACGGATCAAAGTTGCCAAACATGTGCCAATACATCCGCTCAGCTACCTTGACTGCACGTTCTCTGCTGGTCCACCAAAGCCGAGACATTTGATCACGTCCAGAACAGCTAGCCAAGCAGCCAAAATCCGCCAACCAAAACCCCTTGTCAACAAGACGCTCAGCCTTCAAGACTGTCGCTCAAGTCCGGAAGTCTATCACGATTAATTCGCCCGACTTACAATAAAGTTACCAACCTTAGTTTTGTCCTAAGAAACGCTCCCCACCGCCGAAAAGCCTCATCTACTCGGGACGGTCCTTAGCGTTTCACGCTACTTTCATACGACCGCAGCCATGTGGTCTGGGGCTGGAGCTGCAACTGGGAACAGCCAAGCAGCAGTGGTGAAATCTGAACAAGCACATCTGGTTGCTCGGCGGGCTTTGTTGCTTGCCTCGTCCGGTCTTACCACCTGAACCTAGACACTCTTCCTCTTCTCGTTGCACAACAGAGGCTTTCGCCCGATCTTTTTTCAGATTTTCTGCCCCAAGGATCACAACGTACGAAAAAGACAGCACAGCCTGTGGAAGCTTACGGTGCGGCACGCCCAACCAGCACCCAGCATCTCCAACTACGGTCACAATCGGCCTTCGTACGCCGCCGCCTTTGCTGACTTGAGATGAGGGGGGCTGCTGTCTTAGCGCAACCACAGCCGCAACCAGATGGGACAAGATCTGTGGTCGTACCTTTTTTCCAGTCTCCTTCTGACGTCTTGTCAGCGAATGTCTTGTTGACGTAAGAATAATTCACGATCCTAGTGGCCACGCGGGTAACACTTCGCACTAACACCCGGCGAGGTTGACGGCTGTGGCTCTAAACTGGTGCTACCGTTTTCAACGAGGATTCACCAAACTCTTGCGGCATTTCAGGGCTTGACACCATAGGACTAGGCTCAAGAAGTCACAGAGCCGATTATACTTGACTTCGCCATGCTGGGGTTATTGAAGAACCCTTGCGGCCGACGTACACATATTGGCGTCACTCACTTCAGAGGTTTACTTCGCGGCATACGATTGCCGACGTCATGGCCTCATCACGGACGTCTTTCTTGCGTGTCCTGGGTCTGATCTCCCAGTTCATGAGCAACCGAGCAGAGATCGGACGGTGGAGGCGTTCCGTTGCGAACCGGAGAGGGAGACATTCGTGCTCAGTGAACCCCCACATCGCGACCGTCTCGTTGTGTTTTTGAGAACTCGAGCATCTCCTTTGGGCCCAACCAGGCCAGCCTAGGTGATGAACAAAGGCGCCGTCGTCAGCAATTCTCCCCATACCGCAATGCAACCCTCCATCACTACATCCACAGCGGAGAGCGGGAGGCTCGCGATGTCTGATAGCGAGCCAATAAGTGGATCTGATATGATCCATCATGGCCTTCACGCTGGCGCGGCGCAGAATACCCGTGGGCACAACCTGATTAGTCCCGTATTTCCACTCATCATTCCTCAGAATAGCAACGGCGTGTAGAGTCCGATTTCAATGCCACCTTGGGTCTTTTTCCGGCGGCGCTAAGGCTGAGGGTCCGTGGCGCCGACTCAGCTCCCGGGCAAAGCGTCAGACGGGACAAACGGCCACACGTTTTTCGAGAGGCATCACACATGTGTTGTTGCGCGACAGCAGCTGCATCTGGACTGGGCGTGAGATGGCTAACGCTGAAGAGGCACTTTGGCAGAGTCCAGCCCTCAGCCACCCGAGCCGCCGCCTCCTCTCGTCATTGGGGTTCACTCATCTGAGACCTCGCCCTCCCCAATCGTCCATCCGCAATCAATTGCGCGGCGGAAGACGATCCGTGAACGCTTCCCGCTCCCCACATTCCCGCCGCCGGTCTCCCTAATTCTAGGGGCTTGCGAATGGACGTCAGTTCCACCAATCTGCTGCTAGGACCGAGATGGGGAGACCGTAGCATCCCGTTTAGTCGAGGCCAGTTCGAAATGTTCCGATTCATCCAAACAATCATGTCCCCGGATCTTGGCACATTGTTCTCAGCACTCAGCTGGCCGGCAGGCTTTCGCCGAACAATGTGTTCGAAATGAAGCGGCCGACGGACCTTGAGGCCCGGACCAAAATACAGTGCGGTCCGAAGAGGCGAAGGTCAAGACGGACGACCACTTCGCCTCTCCATGCATCCTCCCTGGTGTCAAGTGGACCGTTACGGCTGCCCAATGCCATGTTTCGAACCGGCGGTTCTTGCTCCCTTGGATAGGCAGAAACCGCTCGTACGCCGCATCGACACGATTTCCATGACATCGTCGATGATGAGATCACCATTGACTTTCCCCAGACCAGCCGTTGCCCGCATTCTGTCTCGAACAGCAGCGCACAGCCGTCTGCAGAGTCATTACTGTGGTAAACTATGGCAAATGGCAATGCGGACCTGCGAACACGCTTACATTTAGAGTTTAGTCCTCTTGTGTTGAGACGTTCAAGAGAGTCTTGACTCGATAAACATTCAGGCGTTTCGGCGGGGACTCCCCATCCGAAGAATGCGGGCAAGCGTTCCAACGCGACCTCAAGTGTGTCTGGAACCCAGATGACGGGCACAGAACAGTATGAACATTGCAGACAATATGCCCATTGTCTCGACAGTTCCCCCATTTCTCTGCGTGTATTCCTGCTTTTGGCAGTTGGTCACTGGCATCCATTGCTCGTAAAATGCCCCATTTTGAAAGATACGACAAAGCAAAAAGATGCCAGAGGGCGTTGCCAGAAATCTCAACTGCTCTTTAGACAAGACATGTCCCCGCATCTTGAATTGAGAGGAAAACGAAGCAGTCGACAGTTTCTTATTTTTCCCTCACTCCTTCGTTTTCCCAAGTCAACGCCCGTCATCACGCAGGCAAGCGGCGCAGGGCGCGGATCCCAAAATCCTGGGAACCAAGGAAACATTTGCTACACCATCACACATACCGGGCACCGAGGCTGAAATCTAACCTCCAAACCCCCCGCACGATCAGACGACCAATCGGAAGGAAAACTCCTCACGTTTTTTCTTTGTCTCTTTCCCAGAGGCACAGAGTTGTCAGGGTGCCTGATAGCGCCATGGCTGGGCCGGTTCTTTTCAGCCTCGCGAAACCGTGGTTTTCAGGAGCTCAGAGCGCAGCGTCGCTAACAAAACATGCGACGCGCCCTGTATCGAAGGTTTCAGGAGCTCGCCAGAGCTTCCCCCCTCCTTGGATGAGCATTGGATCCCATCCCGCCCCGATGGCCGCCATAAGCATGTCGGCCACGTTTCTCCTTTCTTTTCTCCGTCTCTGTTCCTTCCTTCTTACTGCTCTGCATCTCTGATTTTCCTTCTTGCGAACTCAATCGCGCATCTTGCATTGTCGAACAGCATTCGACTCAACCTGCTCCATCCTTGCACATCAACTCTTGAGCAGCCGGTCCTCCTTCCTGCGAGCCGTTTCTTTTCTTCCACTCTGTAACATACCACTTTACGCATAGCCATCCATACCCCTCCCACGTCCACACCTGTGACGCGATCATCATCATGCTGGCAAGTTTGACAACCAAGATGGCCCTCAAGAAGGTGGGCCTCAACAGCAAGTCCTTCGACTTTAGCGGCGGCGGCTCCACGGACTCCAAGTCCAAGAGCGGGAGCAACGCGGGCCTGGATGACATCGAGGCCGAGAACACAAACGGCGGCTGGCCGGCGTGGATGTCGATGAAGTCCCTGCCCATCACCGTCGCCCCGTGGTTCTCCCCGCCCCCGCCCCCGGTCCCCGTCGCCGACCCGCCCAAGATCGGCGACCTCGCCCCGTTGGACCGCGACAGGAAGCTCGAGTTCGGCCGCGGCAGACCGGTGCTCGTCGTCTTCCTGCGATGTGTCGGCTGTGCCTGTACGTCTGATCTGTCTTTTACCGCACTTACACAGACCCTTCCCTTCCCTTACGCGACCTGCATATCTGCTCCCGTCACCTACATATGCAGCCCAACCAACACCACCTTCTTGTTGGGATGATCCTATTCGGCGCATTTCTGAGAGATAACATGCTAATAACCTCTTCCAACAACAGTCGCGCAAAAGACCTTCCTGGCCCTCCGCACACTCGCCAACAAGCACGCAAACAACCTAACCTGCATCGCCGTCTCCCACTCCTCCGCGGCCGCCACGCAAAAGTGGGTGGACCTGCTCGGCGGCGCCTGGAACGTCCAGGTCGTCATCGACGAGGACCGCGCCATCTACGCCGCCTGGGGCCTCGGCCTCGGGTCCGTCTGGTACGTCTTCAACCCCACGAGCCAGATGCAGGGGTTCAAGGAGAAGGGGTGGCTCGGCGAGAAGGTCGCGGGCGCGATCCAGCGGACGGGAGCGGCCGGGCCGTCGGCGAGCGGGGCGTCTGCTGCTGCGCCGCCGCTGCAGAGGAGGGGGACGTCTGCGAGCGGCAAGGGCGCGGCGGCCGCGGATCCTGCGGCCGATGGGCTGCCGGCCGAGGTCGAGGGGCCTAGCACGGTTATGGGGAACAAGTGGCAGACTGCGGGCGCGTTTGCGGTCGACGGGCGGGGGACGGTGGTCTGGGGCGGCAAGGCGTTGAGGGCTGACGATCCCATGGACTTGGGTGCTGGATGTGCGGCGCTGGGGTTGTGAAGAGGCCGTTGGACGATGAACAGCTCGGCGTTGGGATCAGTTTGATACACTTATTTTGGGGGGGGGTACAGGCGCACGGGCTGGTGGCGATTCATGTTGGATAGCGTCTTCTTTTCTTGCTAGTTGGAAATGAACTTGATGTCAAGTCTAAGCTGTTGGTTGGAACGGTGCAAGTTCAACTACTAGTCTTGTCGTGTTGGTCGGTGACTTCATGCTCTTGTCACTTGATTGGCTTGCGACGGCCCCGGAGGAGTTAGTTGTCCGCGCAAGAGCTTTGAGGCGTATCGCCAACTTGACAAGTGACTTTGTCAGAGCTCGATGGTTGGATCTTGGTCCGTTGTGATAATACATCCTGAACGATGGTTGGCTCCAATCACCTTCCACGGCGGAGCTGGCCAGACTCGACAGCTGAGTCACGCCGATGCAACAAATTCACCGTCCAACAGATGTTTCTTGCTCTTGGATCTTCTAGACAAGCCCTTCTGGAACTTCAACAGCTATTGGCTTGTTGCCTTTCTCGTGTTGGTCCCATCCTCCCTGTTACTCAGTCGCATAGCTCCAAGCTTCCCAAACAACGAGGAGCCAAACAGTGATACAGAGTCAAAGTCACTAGGACATATCCTACCTCGCACCGGCGTCCAGATGTAAACCAACGCCAGTTGGAACTCCAGCTCGAGACCCCCTTCTCTCTCTATGGCTGGAGAGTACGTCCCGAAAGAACCATGCTCGACTCGGAATCCCCTCGCAAGGCAGCCTACCTGGTATTCCAACAAAGCATGGGTCCGTCTATATTGCCGTCACATGCTAAAGGGTCCAAAGAAACCCGCGAACCCTGATGGGCTGCTTCCGTCTGGGACAATATCGCCAACCCGTCAAGGTTCTCTCTCTCTCCCCGACTCCGGGCGCAGAAGCAAAAAACGCCTCAATCGTCATCCCAAAAAAGCTCCCCTCCAAAGTGACTCCACCGCGTAGGAGAAAAAGAAAGCCGTCAAAGACGTCATCACCACAAATAGAAACAAAAAAAACGCCTCAATAAACATAATCCATGTGGCCAAACTATACCTAACAAACCCCCTCTTAATCCCCCACCCATTTCTCCAAGCCACACACACACGCACAAAAACAAAAGTGTGGGGGTCCGCCCGGCCACATATCCTGCGCCCGGGCCTCTCCCCCCTCCCCCCTCCCCATCCCGCGGCGCGGACCGCAAGCCACAAGCAACCACCGCCCGGGTCGCGGCGAGGTCAGTGTTGCGATCCAACGTTCTCCTACCTACCTTAGGTACTCTACTCCGTACTCCCGCCCTTCCCCAAACCTGGGACGGGGAAAAGGGCCCGTTGGCGAAAATCCACGGTCGAATAACCTGCGGCCCATAAAGGTACTTCTACACAAGCCGAGGCCAAAACTGCATACATCGAATCCCATCCGTGACAGTGACTACACTTCGGGTCGGGCCCCAACCCGACCCGGCGGCCCTGGGTCCGGCCGCGGTAACAGCCGCAGGCAGACCTCTTCGGCGTCCTCACGGCCCAATACCCAACCGTTCCAACACATTTTACACTTTCCCTCCTCTCCCATCTGCCATGGACACGGAACCAGCTAGGCAAGTCCCGAGCCGGCCGTCGTTGGGAAAGAGCAAAATTCTACCTCGCCATCCGGGAAAACTCTCCCAGCCCAGAGAGAGGGGGCGATAACACCTCACGCCGTACCAACGCAACGTCCAAGGTTCCGCCCCGAGACTCAAGGTTCGGCCCTTGGGGGCGCGCGGGTTCAGACTCTGATCCGCGTACACCACCTATTAGTTAGTTTCTCAAATGTCATATTACCATTGACTCGACGGAGAATGTCGCCATAGAGCCAAATTTACAAGATGAACACGCGGACGGGACAGACGTGGGGGGACAAAAAAAAAGCATGTTTGTTTTCATTAGATTGCCTGCTCCAACCCCAGAGCAAAGCGTGCAAAGAGTAGCATCCGAGTCCGTCCCTCTCCAACGCATCCGATGTTGATCTATCCACCCCGAACCCCGTCTTCATGTAGTCAAGTTCCCTTTCGTTTCCCAGTTCAATAAAGGCGCGAGAACCCTATTACGACTCGGTATGGTCTCCCAGTGTTCGAGATCCCCTTCGAGTGCCGAAAAAAGGCAGAAAACTCCCCACGACGCGACCTCCAGTGATAAACCCCGAGAAGCAGAAAAGGAGGAAAAAAAGAGGAAAGAAAAGGAAATATCCCCCCATGAGAAATGACAACCCACAAACACCCCGTATCCCAAACCCCTGTTTTTTGTGATTTTATCGCCGCGTGATGAGAGAGTCGTCTCTGTGTGCTGTGTCAACTCCCCGGATGTGCGTTTCCCAGTCCCAACCCATTCGAGTTAAACCAGTATCGAGATCCACGCCCACGCCGATGTATGCTCGCAATTTCGAATCATAAGGTTGCCCTTCGTCGCTTTTTGGCACCCGAATTCATCCAATGCCCAGCTCCGAAGGACAACGTTCCCAAGAACCAAAAAAATGTCGTTCCCGCTCCGTGCTCGCCTTCGCCAGAATTCCCAGATCATCCGAAACATTCCCAGACGCTGCGATATTCCCGCCGAAGCTTGTGTCAAACCCGAAGCCAACTCGTGTGTAAAACCCCTGTCCACGCCCATGTGACATGCATCTCTTTTTCCCGTAGCAATACTTTCGACTCCGTGATTGCAGAATGCGGTTCGTGTAAAAGAAAACTCCTCAAAAGATGCCGAAAAGACACCCTCACTCCGAATACCGTGTTGAGCCCGAGGTATATATCATGTTTTCCGTGTCCGAGGAGAAAATCAATCCAGACCGAAAACAAACTAAAAAACCACCCACGTAAACGGTTAAGTCATCGAGCCCCTTTTTTTCATTCAGTCTGTAGATGCGCCGCGGCGCTGTCTCCTCGGAGGGGTCTTTGGATTGGGCGTCTGGGTTTCCTAACCCCAGACGCTAGCAGGAGGCTGGCTCAGTCCGGAGGACTGAGGGCCCCAGACCCCATTGCCACGGCCCCAACCGCCGGGAGAGGCGAGGGGGGTGGTGGATCGCTTCGAAGACGAGTTCGAGGCACCAGTCGGGGTGCCGGAGGGACGAGTACCGATGGGAGCAACCGTCTGGGCCGGCTTGGATCCCGGCATCTCCTGGCGAGGGGGGGAGCCACCAGGGGAAGAGTTGTTGGTACGGGCGGCGGCCTGGCTAACAGCCGACTCGAATGCGCTCTTGTTGTTAGGAGCGTTCGGCTGAGGGCTGGCAGTGCTGCCAGCACGAGAGCCTTGCTCGCCCGGGGGACCAGCGATGGGACCGGGGCCGTCAGTGACAGAGACGGGCGTGTTGGCATCACCGTGAGGAGGGGGACCGCGGGTGATGTCGTACGTCAAGGGCGACTGGCCCCGCAGGCTGGAAGGACCACTGTGTCCAGGCACGCCAGGACGCACGGCGCCAGTCTCGTCGACGTAGCCTCCCTTCTCGGCAAACTGGCCCTCGCCGTACAAGGCGCTCCGCTGCCGAGCGATCAGCTCGCGAGTCTCCTCCTCGGACATGGCCTTGTTGCCGTAGGGGATGTCAGAAACGACAGCTGCGCGCACGTTGTGGTTAGCCTAAAGTCCTCTCAAGTGCCCATGTCTTACGTGAAGGGGTGGGACAGGAAGGTCTTTCAGGGAGACATCTCTCGACAGTAACATGACGGGGCAGCAGGATGTTGCATGATGGTGAAACCCCTCGGCCTGAATTATCTATTTTTTCTTCTTCTTTGCTGTCTCCCCTGTGGACAATGAAGTTTGTGTGCTATACAGTAGAGGGCGGCCTACTTCGCTGGTATTGCTGCTCAGTGTGGAGGTTGCGCAGCTCCCGCTCCCGTTGAGCGGCCATCCTTCTCTTGGCCTGCATCATCTGTTCCGCGTCGTTGGATCCTCGGGAGGACTGGTGGCGCTGAGAGGCGTAAAAGTTTTGGAGGTTCGAGTTCGGGTGGCCTCGGGCATCATCGAACTGGTTCATCGAGTGCGGTCGCGGACCGGCTCCAGCTCCAGCTCCCATGCGTCCGGCTGCGAGGTCTGCGTCAGCAGGGGAAGGCCGCGGATTTGCCCGCCAAGTGCGAGCAGACTTACTGAAGTCGAGAGACTTTCTGGCGGGACCAGGACCAGCAGGGCCCATCTTGGGGCCGCCAGGGGTTGGGTACTCACGTCGACCGCCCATTCCGTAAGACTTCCCGCTCTTGGCGAGATTCTCGTATGCACGATCAACCTCTGTAGGCCTAGCAGTCAGTGTCCGTACCACATCTAAAGTATCAACTCGTCAGCTGGGTCTTCCTGCGCGCGACGCCTGCCGGGCGCGAGTCCGCAGAGAAACTCGCGCTGGGCTGACCGTCGGCCACGCGCTGGAGAGAACAGTAGACCTACCCTCAAACTGGTAGAAGAATGCGAAGTCGTCCTGAGCCGTGGGGCCGCTGGCACCTGTTGACGGGAACCTCGAGTCAATTCCGGTTTCCGATTGTTGTTGAATTTGGCGATGTTGCGACTGGGCCGACTCACCAGCACGGACAGGAGGCGCTTGGTGTTCCCAGTTGTTCTGGCCGGGATTGGACCATTGAGGGTTGTTCTCGTAGTAGGACATGATGGCGGTGCTGGTGGTGCTTCGCTGGACTTGAAACCGGAAGGCCGCTGACGGGTCTGTCTGAGGGATTTGAGGCTCGGAGACCGAAGAGGAGGCTGGACTCGATTATGTCTTTGTTCTTCGGAGTCGAATTAGTTGAGATAGTCTCAAAGCGACGTTCGGGGCCAAAGGCGCGGATGGGAAGCCTTGGAAGAACGGTGTCGCAAATGGATGGGTGGAAGGCGCCGCGGTGTCAGGGGAGAGGCCAACGGGGAGGGACAGGGAAAATAAATTTTCTGGGTATGGGCGGCGCCGCGCTTAAATGTCTCGCGGCTTTTTTTGCGCCGGGGGGTCGCAACGAACAGACAGGGAAACCACTCACCAAAGGGGAAAAAAAG